AAGAGGTTAAAGATAATTAATTTATTAATAATAAACTCTATTATTTAGTAAAGTAGAAAGATTAGCTATTAGAGTATAACTAATAGATATATACTAATAATATAATAAATGCCCAGAGAGTTATTCAGAAGTATAAGAGATATAAGGTAAAATTATCTATTCTATCTAATATAGCTATATTAGGAAAAGCTAGGTATAATAAAAGATTATTATTAAAGTATAAGGATATTACTAACACCTAATAATCTTCTTAAATTTCTTTAAGGACAAGGGGAAAAGTGTTCTTAATGTCTACTAAATAAGAAATTCTATTAGGATTATCATTACTATAACAGTAAGTAATAATATGGTAAACTATATTAAAAAAATAATATTAGGTAGTAACCTAGGTTATATAACCATCATTACCTAGGATTAAATATAGTAACTACTAGCTATAATAGTATTTCTACTCTACCTTACTAGTATTAAGACTAGGGGCCTATAGTGAACTAAGCTCACTCTAATAAGCAGCATAAAAAATCTAATAAGTAGGTATATTACCCTAGATTATTATTAGTAATATACTATAATATTAATACTAAGATAATAAAGAACCTACTATAATGGTCTGCTTATTACTAGTTGAACTATAATAATAGTAATAGTATAGCTTAACATGGTTAAATATAGAGATAAGAGTAATAATAGTATAGGAGAGGTTACTCTATATTATATCTATCTAATTCTTATTAGGATTAAAGAAGCTAGAGTACTACTCTAGGATTATAGTAAGATTATATATATTTCCTAGTATACCCTCTAAAGTCTAGCTAGTTAGTATACTTAYAAAAYATRAGGAAGGGATATATATAATTAAGTAAGTTATATAATATTTAGAATACTACTTATATAGCACTAACTTAATAGTATTAAGGGTGTAAGGAATCTTAAATAGTTCTCTATTATTAATATTAAAATTATTTACTATAGTATATAAATACTTTAGGCACTATATAAATAGTAGCTTTATAGGCATTACATACATAGCATATACTAGAATACATAGTGGCATGATATTAATAAGTAGTCTTAATAAAATAACTATAAGAGTAATAAAATCTAATAAAATAAAGATAAAAACCTTAAGAAATAAGGCTAGAATAAAGGTATAAAATAAATAAAGCACTAAGTATAGGAGGAAKARRGAGAAGAAAAGAAAATAAAGAACTAGACTACTATATAAAATAAAGGAGTAATATACTTTAGTTACTTATAATAATTATATTATTTATATTAATATTATTAACCACATAATAAAGAGCACACCATAATAAAGGCTTTATACTAATATAATAATATTATATTAATAGTAATTCTATAATATTACCACACCCTTAATACACCATACCAATAGTTATTACTATTTTGAGAAATCTTGAAGCTATATATGACTATGGATAGTTATTATAGTGAGAAGGGGTATAATTTATAATAGATTAAGTATAGCTTCTATATTATTTTCCCTTAATCTATATTATACTTACAGATGGCTGCATTAAGCATACTATTTTTAATTACCTATTTTTATACCTTAAGATGCTTGCAAAAGACTACTACAAACATAATATATCAGTAATAAAGATATATATAGACCCCCTTATCTAACAGGTTAGGAAGACAAGGATTAGTCTTATTATTAATAAATCTACTATTCTACCATACTATTCTAACCAAGTACCCTATCCTTTATCATTTCTAAGAGGCTTACCTAGTCAACAGGCTTATCTACCCTGTCCAGTGGATTATCCTTACAGTATCAAATCAATATCAAATGTCGTCTATTAGGGATATTGAATGTCATCTAGTAGGGATATCGAATCAATATCGAATGTCGTCTATTAGGGATATCGAAT